AGCATCAAGGTTGGTTCGGAATTGGCCCCGAATCTTGCTCTAGAGGTGGACCTGGGCAACGCCTCTTGTCATGACCCGATTGTCTGCACTTTGAGAAACGCTTTGGACCCCGTCGGGCACGTTGTGATTGATCCATTTCATTGTGAATCCTTTCGGTCCTAGGACGACCTTTGGTGCGCTTTAAGTGCAACGGTGGGATAATCAACTTCCCATTGTCTACAGGCCAATAAGCTTCATCCGGCAGGGGGCTGAAACTTGACGAGTAGGAGTTCCTGATCGCCTGTTCCGTGTAGTAAGGACTAACCAAACTGTAAGTGCTGAGGGTTATCGACTTAGCTACTGCCATTGCATGTGAACAAGGTACTCTTCTATTTTGATACTTTTGGCATGTACACTCTCCAGTGCGAGTTTCTACGTGTAGAGTAACGGATTGACGATTATGCCCACGTCTTCCTCCACCCCAAATACCTGTTTGCACATAAAAAATACCTTCATTGCGGTTGAACAGAACAACTCTGTGCTTACTTGATTTCTCTTCGATCTTCTGCATGCCATCAAATATATGATGTGCTATTGAATGACCAGCACGCTCCCTCCCTATAGCAGCATCCCGTCTCTTCACTTCACAAACCACTCGTTTACCTTCCAATATGTCATCTCCACTAGGACAGATACAGGCATTGCCCTAATGCCCTTGTAGACTCCATTTATGCTCTCGCCATGGTTGGTAGTTGCAATTCCGAATCTAGCCCCGTTGTCCATGTGAAATGTCCACTTGTGTAGATCTTGACCTTCTGCCCATATTGCTCCCGCCCGGTGTATTTGACGGATCGTCTTCATCTTCTGCTCGTACTTTTTTGGTTGATGTGCAACCGCTACAAGACCGGAGAATTAATAATTAAGCCATAAGAAATTTCATTTGAACAATAAACCATGAACAAGCACTGAATTACATTACTACCTGCACTCCACAATTGATCTCTTATGTCTTTCTTCTTGCCAAATTTGTGTTGGAAATTGGCTAGGAAGTGACGAATACACCAGCGCCATGTCCATCCCCATTCGTCGGGAAAACCACCGACGGCGTGTTTAATCTCGGCATGTCGATCCGATATAATTGTAATACCCATTCTTTGTGTGACGTGGGCGTGTAGCTGGTCAAAGAACCATGCCCAACTTAGGTTGTTCTCCCCTTCAACTAATGAAAATGCTAAGGGAAAAATACTTAAATTTCCATCAACCCCAGTGGCAATAAGAAGAGTTCCTTTATACTTCCCAGTAAGGAAAGTTCCATCAACCTGTTAAAATGAATAATGAGTTAGTAAAAATTGAAATTAGTAAAGTAATGAAATAGTACAATATTTTGAGTCCGTAATATACCTGAATCACTGGCATGCAGAAGGGAAACCCGTCAATGCATAGCTTGAATGTCCAGAACAGACGATGAAACATCAACTCGTTCTATACTCGAACTTGATCTTCAGTTTGTACGTTGTTGTACCACGACACGAAAACCGTCCCAGGGTTGGACTCCTCCATTGCGGACATTAGTCTAGGGAGAAAAGCATATGAGTCTTCCCAATCACCGTAGACCTCAGCCATGGCCTTCTGCTTCCCATGCCACGCCTTCTTATACCTTATGGTGTAGGAATGTCGATCCTTCACCTCGGCCATGATAGCTTTTATCTTGATATCAGGTTGTGCCTCGATTAGATGCTTAATGGTTCTTGCCACTTTTTTTGCTTTAAGTTGCCGGTGATCCTGTGAAAGTATGGTTGAAGAGCATCTGTAGTTGTTCTCTACTGTCCGCATGACCCAGACGCCCTTTCTCTTCATATATGCAGCCCGAAGTTGCCACATACAACCCTCTCCAGCATTCTTACAAATGACATGCAGTTGTTTGGTGTCAGAATATTTTACCTTCCATTCGAAGTTACGCCGCATGGCTTCTTCGCTAAAAGCATCTTGCACATCGGCTTTCAAAGAGAACGCCATACCCACTTCCAAATTAGCAGTCGGATTATACACAGGCATGGGCCGAAAGTCAGGGGCATCGTTCTGACCATATAAAAATTGATCAGGAACCTCTGTGTAGTAAGGCGTTGGTGCCTGACGGAACGCCACCTCTCTGTCATCGATATCGTCCGTATCTTCCTCCTCACTGACTGATCTCAAATCTTCCTCACTTTCATCGTCACTGGAGGCGAATGGATAGCTCGGCTCAGGATGGTCATCGTTACCAAATCGAAGGGTGTTTTCAATGTCAGCCCACTCTAGACCCCAAGCAGGCCATTGATCACCGTCGGGCTGAACGATATCGACGGCAGTCTCACCATGTTGCGGGTATTCTTCCCACCCAACACCTCCTTCAGAACTACCTCCTCCGTAGTTGCTTGAAGTACCTACCCTCCTGCAGAAGTACCTCCTCCGTAGTTACTTGAACTACCACCCCAGCCATACCCTCCTGCAAAACCATCATCATAAGAATACTGGTGAGAATGGGTTTCACCGACCGGCTCGGTCTCGACATACACCTCTGCAAGCCGCACCCCGTTCTCAGATATGAACTGTATCATCATGTTCACCGCGTCATCATCATTTATGACAACTTTTTCGTACATGATTCCGTCAGCACTCATGTTGGGATACCGGTAAGTAATTTGACCAACTCTCCTTTGCCCGCCCGTACAAGTCCTTTCTGCATAAATGTCATAGAGTTCTTGCCACGAGAATCTCGACTCAATTTTTAGCATACTGGATTCGCCATTTTCATAGTCGATCCCAATGTTCGAGTTTGTCACCCGACCATTCCACCAAATAATAAGCCGAAACTTCTTAAATTTACCCATGTCTGCAATTTATAATAATTAAGTATAGTATATAATTAGTACATCAAGGATACAAAAACAATATCATCCAAACCCATAATAAAATGCAACTAATTGATCTATCATGAGAAAACTAAACAAATTCATCTAAATTCATAACTAACTAACATCTATCATTTCATAATTAATCTAAATACTCATAATATATTTGCTAATAACCGCAATTCACTAAATACAGACAAATAATTACTAATACATCAACATGTAAACAATACATAATTATAACATACCGAATCCGGATGAGTTTCTTGAGCAGTAAACCAACTCCAAACCAGCTAACAAAACGACCAAGAAAACACTAATTTTTGTACTACTTTGCTGTAAGGAAGCAGGAGGGACGTGAGGGTCGGAATTTATAGGAAAAAAATGTCAGCTAATCACCGCTGCAAACATCCGCGGTGACGGCATCACCGCTTTTGTCCAAAACGGTGATAGCTAGGTCGCTGTGACCTAACATTCCACCTACCAGGGCTCTAAAACGTGGTCAAATATCACCGTTTTCGTCATCAACGGTGAGTCAATCACCGTTTTTGACTACAGTGGTGATACCTTCCCCGTTGTTGTCGAGAGCGGTGATCTATTCCCCGCTTTTGTCGAGAGCGGTGATATCTTCCCCGATGTTTCACTGTTTTAAACTAAAGTGGTGATTGCTATCACTGTCTTGGTCTACAACAGTGATGTTGAAACTGCTGTACTTTGGGAATTAATTTTATAAGTACTGTATTTAGAGAATTTTTTTTAATAACTTGAGTATTCTGGGATTTTTTCCTCTTTTTTTGCATCGATGGTGGACTTAGTCGTGCTGTTCCATTTTGTTTTGTCGAATTTCTGGAGATCGATTTACTATTGTTCACGATGGGTCGATGTTGGAATAGCGGTGCTCCGGTTCCCTTCTTTGATGTCTCTATCATCATCTCGCTTCCGCCACACTGATTTCTCGGGATCCGCTCGGTTCATGGTGAGTATTGATTTTTCAGATTAATTACTTCCCACTCACCTCTTTCATTTTTCTCTCTCCTTCCAATTCCATTAACCCCAAGAAAAATAATTTAATTACGCATAAACAAATCCCTAATTGATACTTTAATCGACACTGCTAACCGTATTTATAATTCTTAATTACGCATCGCCATTTGCTTTAGATCAAGAAACGGAGAGGAATTTACTTTTCCTCCTGGCCTTGCCGTAGAAATGGTGATCCGCTCGGTTCATGCTCACTATTGCTCAGTATCTTCATCTCTTAGTTCCAGCGACTCATTGCAATTTCTCTCTCAATTGTTGGTCTCCCTCTCTCTGCAATCGACTCTCAACAGAAAGTTTGTATCTCTTCTTCTCTCCTCCTCCTCCTCTCTCCATCTCAGCTTGTGGTCGTTGCAAGCGACTAGGAAATCTCCGAGAATCCGCCGATTACGAGAATCCAGCTCCGACGAAGGGGTAATATGGAGCTTTGTTCCGAATAGGATGAGGGAAAGACCCAGATCGTTCTTATCTATGGATTTAGGTGATTGCTTCTTCTCTTTGTCCCTATTTAGTTGTTTTGGTCAGGTATTGTTTCGTGGGTTCTGGGATTTGAAATTGGAAATTGTTTGATGGTACAGATCCAAAAGGTGGTTTTGCCACCTCGACAAAGACAAAAGGGTTGACAGGATGAGGGGCTCACTATCTGCCTGCGCATTCATCTCATCGGTGAGTAAAGCGCGCTGCCTTAGTGGACCTACGAGTTCTCAAAAAAGCATCAGGTAATAAACTTCCTCTCTGGTTCTTTCGCTGTACTCAGTTTCTTTGCGTTTAGTTTTGTTTAGCTCTTGGTAATTGTTAGGAGTCCTAATTAATTCCTCTGTATTTCAATAAGGTCTTGCAGTCAAGATACAACGAAGAACCAGATCCACATGTTCTTTTTTGGTCCGATTCAGCTTTGTGTTTTTCGTCACCTTTTCGGAAACGGTGTGAGTTTGAAGCGATCAACTTGCTAATTTAAGAGGTCGAGAGATGGAAAAACTCACGTGTTCAATGCGGCTCTGTTCTCAAGGAAAACAAGAACACTGATAAAAATAATCAAACGATTGTTATTCGGTTCACCACCTCTCCAAACTACGTTTGAACGAGGGTGTTCGACGAATAACCAGAAACCGAACCAGGAGTGTTCTAAGTTACGTTACCTCTTGATAGACCGTCATTTACACATGTTTTTACCCTCATTCTTACACTGTTTGAGGTGTTGATTCTCGTGTTTTGGGCCGATTTCACGCTAGGTTGTGCTTGTTTGTGATATTTCAGGTCCTAGTACGTGAATGAAGGCTTAGGAGCGAGTCTGGGGTCGATTGGACGAAGAACGGACGAATGGCGAGCTTTTTGGGGAGCCGCACGGCCAAACCATGGAGACGCACGGCCGTGCAAAGTGCAATTATGGCCGTGCGCCTCTGGCTGAGAACATGCACGGGCTGGCCGGGATCCTTGCACGGCCGTGCACCTGGCCGTGCAAGAAGGCTGAGATCGAATTAAGTGAAACGGCGCGTTTCAGGGTGCACGGCCAGAATGGTGTTGTGCACGGCCGTGCACCTGGCCGTGCAACTCGGGGAAACCGGTTTTAAAGCCTAATCCGAGCCAGAAGTGGGAGAATGGTGTTTGAGAGCAAAAACAGAGCCCTAGAGAGAGAAAGTGCGAAGAACACATCCTAGAAGCTGTCTTAGAGCTGGATTTCATCGAATCGAGCCTGGAGATCGTCATAGGAGTGAAAATCATCGTCCCGGAGCAGATTATCCTCATTGTTATGAGTATGACTAATCCGATTCTTGTTTTCTCTTCTCTCTCTATGGAGTAGAACCCTTCTCTCACTTGGGTATGAAGAACCCTAATTCCTTGTGTTAGGGATTTGATTGTAATGACTTGGGATGATATTACTGTTTGATTTTAATCGAATGATGCATGTTTATTGAATTGATTTGAGTCTGATCAGCTTGTCTCAATTTCTGCTTCAACCTGAGATAGATAGAATCTGATTAGGTTGTTAGAGCCTCTTCATTCGATAGTAAGAGATTGGCTATACGAGAGTTAGCCAGTTTACTGCTTTGTACTGGTGTTCTTGGCGCCAGTAGTGGAGTTCTGTGTTCATAGCCTCAGCTTTCTATCCCGGTGAAGACTAGTCGTCTGCCGGGTAGTTAGACTGAGAGGGCTTGGTCAGCTTAAGAGATTCCAAGCTACTGTCGGATCTTCCGCAGTCTAATCAACAGTAAATCAACCCAGGGAATTGCAATTAAACCTAACTAAGGGGCTAGGGGGACTCAATCCCGAGTGACTCTTGCCTGTTTTAGAAACCCGAATAATTTACTGCTTTCTTGTTGCTTTTACTTTTCACAACAATCACTCGAACTAGTTTGCTAGATAATAGAGAATCACGGAGGAAGCAGTAGATCTAGACCCCGGGTTGATAATTAAACTTGCCTGTTACTGCAGTCCCTTTCATTGGTTACACTTGGCCATTGTTAGGTGTTGTGTTTTAGCGTGTCAAGTTTTTGGCGCCGTTGCCGGGGAACCCTCTAGATTATTGGGGAAACGTGAGAATTTGTTACTCTAGCTTTTATTTACTGCATTTTATCTCTTCCACCTGTGTGCTTTCACGGGTTGCTTCTGCTGATTGTGTGCAGGTAGTGCATGACCCGTAGCCAGTCGGGAGATCTACTACCGTTAGACCAGGAGCTTGAACGAACTTGCAGGAACTTCAAGCGTGCTCTAAAGGCAGCGACTGGCAGCGGAGGAAGCGCTAACACAGCTGCAGTTAGGAGAAGAAGAAGAAGAAGGCGAGATGGGTGACCCGCAGAACAACGATGTGATCCCCGGGGAGCAGATCATGGGATCCTACTGGACCGCTAGGGCTGCAGACATGAGGTGCCCCATTCAACACCCTCAGGTCCCAGCCAACAACTTTGAGGTGAGCACCTCCGTGATCACCATGCTGCGCGGTTCAGTAGTGTTCCGTGGTAAGGAGGGAGAGTGCCCTCGATCGCATCTCAGGCGATTCCACGAGCTCATCGATGGAATCAAGATCAATGGGCTACCAGCAGATGCCATCCAGCTGAGGTACTTCCCATTCACTCTGGAGGGGCAGGCCAAGGAGTGGCTAGACACTCGACCTCCAGGCTCCATCACCATGTTCGCCAACCTGGCGGACAAGTTCCTCACCCGCTACCATCCTCCATCCAAGACTGCTGATCTCCAGAAGCAGATTACACATTTTACTCAGGATGAGGATGAGACCATCAGGGATGCTTGGGAGAGGTACACCAGCCTCTTTCTCAGGTGTCCCAATCATGGTTTTAATTATGCGTTCAAGGTGGGCACCTTCTATCACGCCCTCTTCCCGGAGGACAAGCAGCTGATCGATTCGGTTTGTGGCGGGAACATGCTGACCAAAACCCCGCCACAGCTGAATCAACTCTTTGAGGAGATTGCGGAGAACGGTTATGACTGGGGCACTGCCAGGAGATCGAGACGAGCACCTGGACGGGGTGTGCATGCTGTGGGCACCCAGTCATCTGATTTGGTGCAGGTGGTATCGAAGCTGGTCTCAGCTATCGATCGTTCCGGGATGATTCCAGGGACCGGACAGCAGCAGGCGATGCTCTGCCAGTGGTGCGAGAGCACCCATCATATGGTGGAAGACTGCCAGGCGATGAAGGAATCGACCACACCCCAGGAGCAGGTAAACTTCATCAATAACGCCAGGCGCAATGACCCCTACAGCAACACGTACAATGAGGGGTGGCGCCAGCATCCTAACTTCTCCTGGGCTGGGCCAAATCCCAAACCACCAGTTCCCCAGGGACCACCAGGCTTCCAGAGGCCACCATATCAGCCCAGACAGGGGCAATTCCAGCAGCAACACCAGTCTCTTTATCAGCCCATGTAGGGGCAGGCTGCTCAATCACAGCCGCGGCCTTTTCAGCAGCCAGGTGCAGCCCTTGCTGCCCCAGTGTAGAATGATCAGATGGCTGACCTGCGGGACTTGGTGGGTTCTCTCGCCAGTACTAGTGCTCAGAAGTTCAACACCTTTGAGCAGTTCATGGAGAAGGCCTCGGGGAAACTACTGGCTCTTGAAGCTGGTCAGAGGAACACCCAGGCTGTTTTGCAGGATATCCAGACCCATCTGGGGAGCGTGGCCCAAGCAGTGGCTCAAAGGGCGCCTGGTACTCTACCAGCGCAGACCATCCCTCATCCGCAGACCCCGGATGAGCGCTGCAATGCCATCATGACCAGGAGTGGCAAGCTGACTGTCGATCCCCCTGCCCGGGAACCGGAGAGAGAAAGCCCTGTTGCAGCATCTCCAGCGGTTGAACAAGAAGTTGAGAAGGAGGTTGAGGTGCCTGCACCTAAACCGCAACCAGTAGTGAAGGAGTATGTCCCTAAACTCCCTTTCCCTACTCGGTTGCACAAAGACAGGCTGGAGACAGAGTTCGAAAACTTCATGGCCATGCTTAAGAAGCTGAATGTCCAAGTGCCTTTCCTGGAGGCACTATCGCAAATGCCAAAGTATGCGAAGTTTCTGAAAGAGCTTCTCTCAAAGAAGCAGAAGCTGAGTGAGCTGGCCACTGTGGAGCTCAGCGAGGAGTGCTCGGCTATTCTGCAGAACAAGCTTCCACAGAAGAAAAAGGACCCAGGTAGTTTCACTATCCCGTGCTCTATTGATAAATTGCATGTAGAGAAGTCCTTGGCGGATTTAGGTGCTAGTATCAATGTTATTCCATATAAATTGTTCATGAAACTAGGCCTAGGTGAACCCCGTGCTACTAGGATGACCCTCCAATTAGCTGACAGATCTGTAGTGCGTCCTAGGGGTATAGTGGAAGACCTTCTGGTCAAGGTTGGCAAATTCACATATCCTGTGGATTTTGTTATCCTGGACATCAGTGAGGACACAGAAGTGCCTCTTATACTGGGAAGGCCTTTCCTGGCCACCGCCAAGGCTCTCATAGATGTGCATGATGGGACCTTAGTTTTGAGGGATGGCGAGGAGCGAATAACGTTTTCAGTTGCTAACACTATACCTGCTTCGTTACCTCTGCATGGTGTATCTCACCAGGAGCACGAGTCTGTCGTGTATCCTCCTGTGCTGCCTATTTTGCAGGATCCGCCTCCCCCACCTTCGCCGCCACTCCGGACCACCCCGTCACCCAAAGAACAGATCAAGGAGGAGTGGCGGCCGAAACTGCAGGCAGCTAAGCCTGCTCGAAAGAAAGCCGGAGACCACTATGAGCTGGTCCCGCCCCCACCTTGGCCATCCGAGTATTCACTCGCTTGCATCCTACCGGATGGCCAAGTCGAGCTGGCAAAGGCAGGTGGCCACATTCGTCGTGTACATGGCCACCATTTGAAGCTGTACCTCAAGAGCGATGTGGATCCGCTCTTGAAGGCACCTGATCCTACACTTCCCTGAGCATCCATACTGGCGTCCAGCTAAAAGACGGTAAAGAAGCGCTTGTGGGGAGGCAACCCCACCGAGGTTTGCATTTTCTTACTCTTTTTCCTTTGATTTTGTGTGTTTTTGAGTCTTGAGACGTTGATCCGGAGTTACGTGTCGTTTTTGAGTGAAAACAGGTTGATTTCGGGACCCCAGCAAGTCGCACGGCCAGAAAATCAACTTGCACGGCCGTGCGCCTAGTCTGGCCTGGCCGTGCGAGCTCTCGGCCAGGAGTGCACGGCCAAAAGTGCACAACGCACGGCCGTGCAGCATCCTCGGCCAGGCCGTGCGCCTTGCACGGGCAACATAACGACTCGCACGGCCGTGCGGGTACCACCCCCTGGCCGTGCGAGCTCTCGCTGATAGTTGCACGGACAAATGTGCCTTGTGCACGGCCGTGCAACATCCTCGGCCAGGCCGTGCCGGCCTGCACGGGCAAAAGCAACCCGTGCACGGCCGTGCGCCTTGCCCGTGCAGCCGATACACGGGCTATATAAATGGCCGTGCACGGCCATAGTGGTCAGAAAATCAAAACTCTCGCCGGAAACCTCTCCCCCTCGCCAGAAAACCGCGCAAAACCTACCCTATTTCGATTTTTCCGGCCACTTTGGGTACTTTTTTCACCAAACCAACACCAAACCCACTCTTTCTACACCCAAAGCGGCCTATCCCCCGAGTTTGAGCGAGTTTGGGCGACATTTTTGT